TCCAGAGTTGGGACACTGCTGCCATTAAACCCATTCACCCCCGCCTCGATTCACTTCATGCCAAATGCGATCCTTTAAGCGCACAGCAACTTCGTGCTTGCTGCGCATGCGCATTGCGTGCTCTAGGGGACATTTAGCGAGGTCCGAATTTCGCTCGGGAGTCCACGCTGGCAGCAGACAGAGGCAACAGGGACAGAAGTTGCCACGCCACAGAGACCGGTCAGACAGAAACCGGGTCGGTCAGACAGAGGCGATTTTGAACAGCAGCCGCAGCGCGCGAGCCGGTTTTGACAGGAGCTGCTGTTTTGGGCGCGTGGCGCCGGTCCACGGCCACTCGCGTGGCACCGCGATCCGTTCGGGCAGGAGAGCTCGGAGCCGGGGAGAGTCCCGGTAACAGGGTGGTGTGGTGGTGTCGTCGTGGTGGTGTCGTCGTGGTGGTGGTGTCGTTGTGGTGGTGTCGTTGTGGTGGTGTCGTTGTGGTGGTGGTGGTGTCAGAGATGTTAGTGGTGTCAGAGTTGTGGTGATGGTGTCATCATTACGGTGGTGGTGTTGATCCAGGTGGTAATGTTGATGGCGATGAATCTTGATGGCGATGAATGTGATGATGATGATAGTGGTGGTGTTGGTGACGTTACACAGGTAGTAGTAGCAGCAGCTGGTGGTGGTGGTGTGCATGATGCTGTCAACCATGAGGGCGTGGAGCGGAGCCGGTGTGCAATGGAGGGCGGCCTGGGCTGTCAGAGGTGCGCACTCCGCACACACCTACTACACACACACACCTACTACACACACACACCTACTACACACACACACACACCAACTACACACACCAACTACACACCTACTACACACACACACCAACTACACACACACCAACTACACACACACCAACTACACACACAAACCTACTACACACACCAACTACACACACACACCAACTACACACACACCAATTACACACCAACTACACACACACACCTACTACACACACACACACCAACTACACACCAACTACACACACACACCAACTACACACCAACTACACACCAACTACACACCAACTAGACACACACCAACTACACACCAACTACACACCAACTACACACACACCAACTACACACCAACTACACACACACCTACTACACACACACCAACTACACACACACCAACTACACACCAACTACACACACACACCTACTACACACACACCAACTACACACACACCAACTACACACCAACTACACACACACCAACTACACACCAACTACACACACACCAATTACACACACACCAACTACACACACACACCAACTACACACACACACCTACTACACACACACACCAACTACACACACACACCAACTACACACACACCAACTACACACACACACCTACTACACACACACCAACTACACACCAACTACACACACACCTACTACACACCAACTACACACCAACTACACACCAACTACACACACACACCAACTACACACACACCAACTACACACACACCAACTACACACACACCAACTACACACACACCAACTACACACACACCAACTACACACCAACTACACACCACTACACACACACACACACCAACTACAGACCAACTACACACACACACCAACTACACACACGAACTACACACACACCAACTACACACACACACCAACTACACACACACACGAACTACACACACACCAACTACTCACACACCAACTACTCGCACACCAACTACTCGCACACACCTACTACACACACACACCTACTACACACACACACCAACTACACACACACACACCTACTACACACACACCTACTACACACACACCTACTACACACACCAACTACACACACACCAACTACACACCAACTACACACACACCAACTATACAAACACCAACTACACACACACCAACTATACAAACACCAACTACACACACACCAACTACACACACACCAACTACACACACACCAACTACACACACACCAACTACACACACACCAACTACACACACACACCTACTACACACACACACCAACTACACACACACCAACTACACACACACACCTACTACACACACACACCAACTACACACCAACTACACACCAACTACACACACACCAACTACACACACACCTACTACACACCAACTACACACACACACACCAACTACACACCAACTACACACCAACTACACACACACACACCAACTACAGACCAACTACACACACACACCAACTACACACACGAACTACACACACACCAACTACACACACACACGAACTACACACACACCAACTACTCACACACCAACTACTCACACACCAACTACTCACACACCAACTACTCGCACACACCTACTACACACACACACCTACTACACACACACACCTACTACACACACACACCTACTACACACACACACCTACTACACACACACACCTACTACTGACACATACACTTATTACTGACACACACACCTACTACTGACACACACACCTACTACTACACACACACCTACTACTACACACACGCCTACTACTACACACACAAACGCCTACTACTACACACACACACCTACTACACACACACACCTACTACACACACACACCTACTACACACACACACCAACTACACACACACACCAACTACACACACACACCAACTACACACACACACGCCTACTACACACACGCCTACTACACACACGCCTACTACACACACACACACCAACTACACACACACACACCAACTACACACACACACACCAACTACACACACACACACCAACTACACACACACACCTACTACTGACACACACACCTACTACACACACACACCAACTACACACACACACAACGCGTGTCCACTGTGACCATGTACACACAAGGGACGTGCGGTCAGGGGAAGCAGGGGAGGCAGAGCCTCACCTGTGTAATGGGTTCCTGAGACACTTGTAGAGGTAACTTCTTTATTACAATACAACACTCCAACAGTCCTGATACTCTGTTGCAGACTAGGTACACCGCCTAGGTACACAGCCTAGATACACTACTCTGGCTACGCTCTGGGGTCCTCCGGCTACAATTAACCTAGGGGAGGCTATCTGACCCGACCCAGCCAAGGTGCGGGTCTGGACTCTGGCTTCCTCGGAACTCGCCCTTACAAGGACGTAGAGCCGGGAGTCCCAGAGTCCCACCACTGCCCCTCACAGCGTCCCGGCCCTTACAAGGACAAGCGGGACGAGGGGGTCCAGGGTCCTAAGCTGGCTGGCTGGCGGGTCTTGGGTCTTGAGCTGCGACTGGCCCCGATCGGCCAGGGAGCTGCCCTTTTATGCCTCGTCCCCAACGCGGGGTGGGGTTGTGTGCGCCCCCAGATATCCCACAGAGCACACACAGCCCCCCCGTTGGTGGCGCCAAAGGGCTTAAGCGTCTGGGTTGCTTGGGATCCTAGCGCCTGGCGCCGAGGCTTATCTGTCTAGGATCCCAGAGCTCCCAGCAGCCCCTCCCCTCTTGGGCTGGCACAGTGGCCCCTCTTATGGCACTACACCTGTGATACTCCAATGAAAATAGCTGTTATGAAAAAAATGATCAAATCAAATAAATATACAGATTTTCCCACTGATCTGTGTTATAAATGTAATTTCTGTGCGATTCCAATTATTTTTATAGTCAAAATCGCCAAATTTGCAGAGCTCCGCTGCAAATACAGGAAGAGACGAGAGGTGAGGCAGCGACGAGCTCAGCCTCCCCTCTGATTGCGCAACCCCTTAGTAACTGGATGGAGCGTGGGCAATAAGCGCGTGCCTGTTACTATCTCAGTATGTCACCAATGTAATGTTTGTAGACCCCTTCATTTCATGTCCTCGCCTTCCATACTCCAGGTAACTTATTTCACGTTTGTGTATAAAGATATTTAGGTTCGCTGGGCTCGTCATGAAACTGCAATGAAAAAGCACCAGGGGAGGCAGTTATCACATCTGCCTCACTGAGGGGGGCGTGTCTAACACGCCCCCCTCGGTGAGGACACGCACCCCTCAATGTGTGAATCTGGCTCTGACACTAGCCAGTGCCTCCCCAGCCATTGACCTCACTGCATGTCACTGGTACACACACAGAGCATGTCCACTGTGACCGTGTACACACACAGCGCATGTCCACTGTGACCGTGTACACCCTGTGTTTGCCCTCGCTTTATGCATTGTCTCTCCCTCCAGCTCCCCACGCCAGATTCTCTGCAGCTGCCCCTGGCGGTGGCGGCAGTGGTGGTGACGGCGGTGGTGGCATCGGGGCCGGCGCGCCGTCTCCTTCGCGCGCCGCTGCCGCACTGGGGGGCCGGCAGCGTGGGCGCTCGGTGCCCCTGGTGCGGCGTGCCGAGTTGACGCGGGCGCGGCGCGTCGTTGTGAAGCTGGGCAGCGCCGTAGTGACGCGCGGGGATGAGTGCGGCCTCGCCCTTGGCAGGCTCGCCTCCATCGTGGAGCAGGTGAGCTCGCGCTGCCCGCTCGCACATGTGTGGCGAGGGCGGGCCTGTGTGGGCTCGTCTCAAAGCTCATTTCGGGGCAACCGTTGCTGGTGATGATTGCTGGCAACGATTGCCCTGAAATTTCCCGAGTGGATGGATGATTGTGGCTTTGAGTACAACATGTGTCCACTAAGGAGCAGGGAACTGGTGAGGAGTCCCTCACCAATCATTCGCCACACTCACCACACTCGCACACACGCACACACGCACACCACACGCACTCCCCACATTAACCCCTCTCACCACACACACACCACGTTCACACCCCAACACTCACTCGTCACTCGCGCACGCCACGCGCACACCACACGGACTCGCCACACTCCCCTCTGACTCGCACACTCAACACACTCGCCACACCCGCCCCCTGACTCGCACACATACACCACGCACACTCAACACACTCGCCACACCCGCCCTCTGACTCACACACACACACACCATGCACACTCAACACACTCGCCACACCCGCCCCTTGACTCGTACACACGCACACCATGCACACTCGACACACTCGCCACATCCACTCCCTGACTCACACACACCCCACGCACACCACGCACACTCGCTCGCTCACTCAGGGACTCTTCACCTTGCCACTCACACTCCACACACACGATGTGTACGCACCGTGCGGTGTGTGTGGTGAGTGTATGTGTGCGGTGTGTGTGGTGTGTGTGGTGAGTGTGGTGAGTGTGTACGTGCGGTGAGTGTGGTGAGTGTGTACGTGCGGTGAGTGTGGTGAGTGTGTACGTGCGGTGTGAGTGGTGAGTGTGTATGTGCGGTGTGAGTGGTGAGTGTGTACGTGCGGTGTGAGTGGTGAGTGTGTACGTGCGGTGTGAGTGGTGAGTGTGTACGTGCGGTGTGTGTGGTGAGTGTGTACGTGCGGTCTGTGTGGTGAGTGTGTACGTGCGGTGTGAGTGGTGAGTGTGTACGTGCGGTGTGTGTGGTGAGTGTGTACGTGCGGTGAGTGTTGTGAGTGTGTACGTGCGGTGTGAGTGGTGAGTGTGTACGTGCGGTGTGAGTGGTGAGTGTGTACGTGCGGTGTGAGTGGTGAGTGTGTACGTGCGGTGTGAGTGGTGAGTGTGTACGTGCGGTGTGAGTGGTGAGTGTGTACGTGCGGTGTGAGTGGTGAGTGTGTACGTGCGGTGTGAGTGGTGAGTGTGTACGTGCGGTGTGTGTGTACGTGCGGTGTGTGTGGTGAGTGTGTACGTGCGGTGAGTGTTGTGAGTGAGTACGTGCGGTGTGTGTGGTGAGTGAGTACGTGCGGTGTGTGTGGTGAGTGTGTACGTGCGGTGTGAGTGGTGAGTGTGTACGTGCGGTGTGTGTGTACGTGCGGTGTGTGTGGTGAGTGTGTACGTGTTGTGAGTGTGTACGTGCGGTGTGAGTGGTGAGTGTGTACGTGCAGTGTGAGTGGTGAGTGTGTACGTGCGGTGTGTGTGGTGAGTGTGTACGTGTTGTGAGTGTGTACGTGCGGTGTGTGTGGTGAGTGTGTACGTGCGGTGTGAGTGGTGAGTGTGTACGTGCGGTGTGAGTGGTGAGTGTGTACGTGCAGTGTGAGTGGTGAGTGTGTACGTGCCGTGAGGGTGGTGAGTGTGTACGTGCTGTGAGGGTGGTGAGTGTGTACGTGCCGTGAGGGTGGTGAGTGTGTACGTGCCGTGAGGGTGGTGAGTGTGTACGTGCGGTCTGTGTGGTGAGTGTGTACGTGCGGTGTGAGTGGTGAGTGTGTACGTGCCGTGAGGGTGGTGAGTGTGTACGTCCCGTGAGGGTGGTGAGTGTGTACGTGCGGTCTGTGTGGTGAGTGTGTACGTGCGGTCTGTGTGGTGAGTGTGTACGTGCGGTGTGAGTGGTGAGTGTGTACGTGCGGTGTGAGTGGTGAGTGTGTACGTGCCGTGAGGGTGGTGAGTGTGTACGTGCAGTGTGAGTGGTGAGTGTGTACGTGCCGTGAGTGTGGTGAGTGTGTACGTGCGGTGAGTGTGTACGTGCGGTGAGTGTGTACGTGCGGTGTGTGTTGGTGAGTGTGTACGTGCGGTGAGTGTGGTGAGTGTGTACGTGCGGTGTGTGTCGTGAGTGTGTACGTGCGGTGTGAGTGGTGAGTGTGTACGCACCGTGCGGTGTGTGTGGTGAGTGTGTACGTGCGGTGTGTGTGGTGAAAGTGTACGTGCGGTGTGAGTGGTGAGAGTGTACGTGCGGTGTGAGTGGTGAGTGTGTACGCGCGGTGTGTGTGGTGAGTGTGTACGTACAGTGCGGTGAGTGTGTACGTGCGGTGTGAGTAGTGAGTGTGTACGTGCGGTGTGAGTGGTGAGTGTGTACGTGCGGTGTGAGTGGTGAGTGTCTATGTGCGGTGTATGTGGTGAGTGTGTACGTGCGGTGTGAGTGGTGAGTGTGTACGTGCGGTGTGTGTGGTGAGTGTGTACGTGCGGTGTGAGTGGTGAGTGTGTACGCACCGTGCGGTGTGTGTGGTGAGTGTGTACGTGCGGTGTGTGGTGAAAGTGTACGTGCGGTGTGAGTGGTGAGAGTGTACGTGCGGTGTGAGTGGTGAGTGTGTACGTGCGGTGTGTGTGGTGAGTGTGTACGCACAGTGCGGTGAGTGTGTACGTGCGGTGTGAGTAGTGAGTGTGTAATAAAAGGACTCGAACACTTCTCTCTGTCTTCGTGTCTTTATTCAGGTTCACGTCTTTACCCACACGGCACTCTGTTATAACTCCTGTATTTGTAGCCCCCGGCTATTCACTGCTATTATAGCTTCCTCTCCCCTCTGACTCTCTGCTTCATCTACTGTAACCTCCTCCCTGCAGACTCGCTGCTACCCCTATGCAGACTCCCGCTGCTACCCCTATGTGCAGACCCTCTGGCTGTCACTGTATGCAGACCCGCTGCCCACCCTCTCTGTGCAGCCCCGCTGCTGACTGCAGCCTCCTCGCTGCTTCGGGTCGGTCACCGCTGGCCAACGGTGCCGATCCTCGCTCCCCCCGTGTTCGTGGCGATCTCGCCACACCCCGCTTCGCCCTTCGTGGCCTTCCTCTGTTCCTGGTTCCCCGTCACTCCCTTGCTCTTCCGGTTCCCCTCCTTCTATACTCAACCCCTCTGCCCCCCACGTGACCTAACTCCTCCCCCCCTGACGGCACCTCAGAAGGGCCGTTTACAACCGCATTACATCACCCTCCCCCCTAAAGAAAATCCAGCCGACCTCGGCTGAATTGCAACCTGAAAAGCAATGCGGGTGTAAAGGGCCAACACGCAAAAAGACACGAAGCATTGAAGAACATTATAACAATAACACAACACAATCTAACGAAACGTGAGGGATTTCGAGCGAGTACGGGTAGCCGGGCCGTCCCGGACGGTCGGCGGCCCACCCGCCGAGCGGGAACGTGGAAGGGTTTTAGGGGCGACGGGCGCAAGTTCTTCCGTCGCCATTGGAGGCCCGCCACTGTCCCGCTCGCGTCCAGAAACATCCCGTACTCGCGTCCGCGGAGGGATAGGAAGAGCTGCAGGTCCCGTGGGTTCTGCGGCTCCGGTCGGCGTCCCACAAGCGGAAGGTCCTCCTCCCTGCGCTGTCACGGCCGGATTGTCTGGGAAGGGTACGACAGGCGCTCTCGCAAGGTCAGCAGACACAGGCAAGGGCGAGTCGGCAGCAACAGACCCCGGCAAGGCAACTTCGGGAGATGACGCATCCGGCCGTGGGGCAATGTATGGCTTCAACCGGGACGTGTGCACGAACCAACGCCGTGCACCAACCTGAACACGCGCCGACTGTGGGTTGGGAACCTCAATGAGGCGGACCGGACCCTGCCAAGGTCGATGTAATTTAGGAGATGTACCTGGCCGCACCTGTGGGCAATGAAGCCAGGCCAGGTCCCCCTTTTTCCAGGGACACTCCCCCTTTGAACGTCGGGCACACCGCTCATTCCTGGCCTGAGCCTTGGCAGTAGCCATGCGGGCATTTTCCCTCGCCTCAGCGACACGCCGAACGTTGTCCTTAATATACTCAGGAAGAGGCTTAACAGGCCCCCTCGCACCGGTTCCCAACTGGTCATGAATCGGCGGCACGTTCTCACGGCCGTACATAAGGAAAAACGGCGAGTATCCAGTAGCCGCGTGCGGCGTCATGCGATACGCCGAAAGCACCCCAGGGATATGCAAATCCCAATCAGATTGGTTTTCCCCGACTGTATGGCACAGCATGGCGGACAGAGTCCGATTCAACCGTTCCACCATACCATCCGTTTGCGGGTGGTAGGGGGACGTCCGTATCTTTTTAGTTCCAAGAGCCGCACACACCTCCCCCAACAATTTAGACGAAAAGTTACGTCCCTGATCCGTAAGGAGCCTCTCCGGAGCCCCTTTGTCCATTACATACCCAAATAGAAAGGCGTCAGTGATAGACGCCGCTGACTGGTCAGGCAAGGGCCAGGCCATCGGCCAGCGAGAGAGGTACTCCACCCCCACCAGTAAATACTTATTCCCTTTAGCTGATGGCGGAAAGGGTCCCAAAATATCTAACGCCACCAGCTCATTAACCCGAGATACTTTAATCGATTGTATCGGCGGAACATATGGATGTTTAGGCGGCTTACGGCGGGCACAATCGGGACACGCGCGAACGTGACCGACGACATCCGTCGTCATGCCGTGCCAATAATAGTCTCGTTGCAGCGTCAATAGGGTTTTCTGCACCCCCAGGTGTAAAAGTGTGTCACAGTGCAAAGATCTAATCAGCTCATAGCGCAATGACGCGGGCACAACGAGACGCCAGTGTTCCTGTATCCCTTCCCTCCACATCAGTAACCCATCTCGGAGAGCAGTTTCCGAATTACCACCCGCACCGACTTCCTTACCCGCCCTCTCCGTTCGTTTCCGTAACGACACCAAAGAATCGTCCAACATTTGCTCCCGAATCCACACAGACCTTGGAAGACGCAAAATCCCGTCAGCCGGTCCCCCTTCAACCGGTCCCG